AGATGAGGTTCCTGAGAACCAAACTGACGAAGTAACTTATCCTTGCTAAATGGCTACTATGTGAGGAACAGGGCCTTTGCCCCTAGTCTTTGGATGCCAAGTGCCCCGCTGGTTTCACTACCTGCTGCGACCACTGGGCATTTTATTCCCTGTCAAGTGGTGAAGGCATTTTGACTCAGAAATAAGTTCTCCTTCTGTATTCAACTTGTGACGAATGTTTCAGAATTGTAAAAATGAAAGTCACTTATTCTCAAGGGAAGCTGGTTTTCTATTGAACTAATTTATGCTTTCTGTTTCTATTTCTAGCTTGAGCAATTTCGGACCCTGCTTTTCACTTCTGAAGGGGAGAAAGAGAAAAGAATGGTGGACAACTTCCGCCCCCTTCAGCCCCTGATGAATCGCACCGTCCGCTCATCCTTCCGTCACGATTATGTGCTGAATATACAAGCAAAACCGAAGCCTGCCACCAGCCAAGCGACCCCCTGAAACATTCATATCTAGGCAGTGTTTTGCTTTAATACATACTGGCTTTTAAAAAATTGTTAACTAGACTATTCTAAATGCCTGCATTCAGTAATATTTATAGATGTGCATTTCTTGGTATGGGAGGACTTCAGCAGTCTTTGCAGAGAGCTATTTGGTAAACAAATTCTTCCTTTGGTTAATAATGATGTTTATCACTAAAGTACTAGCAAGAGACACAAGTTTCTCTTACGGCAACCTGTTGGTAACTGTAATGTCTTTTCACGTCTGACATTTTTGAGCTATCTTTTTATGTTTATATCAATTAGCTGTTCTATAGAGTTATAAGCAGGGGATTATAAATGAAATGTTTAGCAACTGGTAAGGCACAAACACTGACAATGAAGAACTCAGGCCTTTTAGAAACTGCCACAGGGTCCAGACTGGTACTTCCTGGCTGAACATAGGCATGTTTTGAAATAAAGTAAGTATATTTTATTTCAAAACATGACCGTGTATTCTTTTATAAGGGCTTCTCAATGAGTATGTTTGCCTCAGTTTTTAGTTGTCATTACTAGTATATGATATGCTTACTTACTATCAATTTATGATATAGAAAATATATTTTATAGTCATAAGAAAACAAAGATTTTTACTATATCTGGAAATCCTTTTGCATTTCTGAAGATCAAATATTTTACTTAATGGCTTGATCATATAGAAAGCATATGCAGAACATTTTAAGGAAAACGTTTAAAAGACCTAGAACTTAGAATTCATTCATATTCTTTAAGATATATTTTTCAAAGGACTAGTAATCTAATAGTCTATAGTTTGTAGTATTATTTTGCATTATTTGTACACCATTATATATAATAAAATGATAACATTTTCTATACTGACAGAGCTATTTTAGCTTCCCTTTACAACTATCTGAACTTTATTTACTCATTAGTCAAGGTTTTTTGCAAGACAGGTAGTCAACTTAAATCTCCCAATTTATACAGTGGTTTACAAAACATTTGTTATGGTAATAGGGGGAGAAACTTGTCAGGTAAGCTAAAATCTAAACTCTAGATAATTCTACATATTCTGAGGAATCTGTGCCCCTATTTCTCTTACTTGTAAATATCTTGGAGCGTATCCAAATGCCTCTAAGCCTGTGTTCAAATCAACGTTGCATCAATAACTGGTAGTATTTCTTTCATTAATATACTAGTCATCTGGTCTTCAAGATAGGGTTGAATGAATATACTTAACACTACTGAATATGCACTTAAAGATGGTTAAGATGGAAATGGGACTACTTCAGACTTAAAAACTTCTGTGTATCAAAGGAAGCAATTAACAAAGTGAAAAGGCAGCCTATAGAATGGGAAAAAATACTCGCAAATTACGCATCTGGTAAGGGGTTCATATCCAGAATATATAAGGACCTTCTATAACTCAACAACAACAAAAAACAAATAACCTGATTAAAAAATGAGCAGGACTTGCACAGACATTTCTCAAAAGAAGATATACAAATGACCAATAAGAACATGAAAAGATGCTCAACATCACTAATTATTAGGGAAAGGAAAATCAAAACCTCAATGAGGGATCACCTCATATGCATCATGATGGCCACTATCAGAAGAACAAACAATAAGTCTTGGGGAGGGTGTAGAGGAGTTGGAACCCTTGTGTACTATTGGTAAGAATGTAAAATAATGGAGTTATGGAAAACAGTACAGAGCTTCCTTGAAGAACTGCAAACAATTACCATATGATCCAGCAATCTAACTTCCGGGTATATATCCAGAAGAAGTCAAAGCAGGATCTTGAAAAGATATTTGCACATCTATGTTCATAGCAGCATTATTTGCAATAGTCGGGAGGTATAAGCAACCCAAATGTCCATCAACAGATGAATAGATAAAGAAAATGTGGTATAAACATACAATGAACTATTTTACGGCCTTAAAAAAGAAGGAAATCCTGTCAAATGTACAATGTGGATGAACCTTGACATTATGCAAAGCAAAATAAGCCAGTCACAAAAGAACAAATACTGTACGATTCCTCTCATGTGAAGTATCTAAAGTAGTAAAACTCATAGAACAGAAAGTAGAAAGGTGGTTGCCAATGGCTGGAGGTGGGGGGAAGTTTCATTTAGTGGATACAGGGTTTCAATGTTACAAGATGAAAAAATTCTAGAGATCTGTTGCAAAACAGTGCAAATATACTTAACATTACTGAACTGTACAATTAAAATGGTTGAGATGGTAAATTTTATATGTGTATTTTACCGCAATTGAGTGTAAAAAATTAATTCAGTAGAAAAAAAAGGTGGAGTTGTATGTATAAGTTCGGGAAATATGTGTTCTCTAAAGAAGGTGGGTGGAGGGGAGGCTTTTGCATATATGCCCTAGGAAAAGCATACAATTCTTAAAAAGATAAACATGGTAAAAAAAAAGTCTGTTAACTTTCTGCAATTCACCCATTTCAAACTACAATTACCTTTAAAAGGGTGAACACATGAGATATTTCTTTTCTAGGGCACACAGGCTTTCCTTCTAGCCTTGCAAACTTTCAGGGCAAAACTCTATTGCAGTAAGTCTTCCAAATTGAAGGGAGTAATAATATACAGAATGCCTGACTTGCTCTCATCCTTAGAGATACCAAGGATGTATTTACAGTATAGGGTGACTGTGTGTCCTGGTTTGCCACTCCTGATTCACTTATACCTGGTGTTCTGGTGTAATTATTAAGAGCACACTCTTTTACTCTCAGCCATGTCCTGGTTTGCATAATAAATTCTTGGTCACCTTCCCTGCAAAGGTTATGGAAACTGCCTTGTCATATGACCCTCAAAGGGGCACTGTACATTCCCTGGCTACTGATATACCTTAACAAGAATTTTTTGTTGGTTTTTTTTTATGCCCTCAAAAGTGTTTTACTTGTACTTTCCTAGACATGAAGGTGGAAAATGGGCCTAAGCTCTGTCAAAGGTCTTGGGGAAGAAGTTTGTAGTAAAATGGATGCTCATCTTCATTAAATAATATTAGACCAATAAAACTCTTTATGTGCAATATTAATGACTGGTGAAAGACTTTCCTTCCTCTTGTTTTGGTATATAAGATGTCTTTAAAATTAGTGAGACATCCTTTAACATACAGATCATAAAGCATCTAGAAAACGCCTAAGGGATTACTACAGATGCAGTCGTGGGAAGAAGCAGCCAATCCTCCTCAGCTCACCTCTTTCGGTCGCACTTGATATGACCACGTAGGGCAAGCTGCAAGCCCCTTTCTCCTTTCCCGGGTCTACATGGTATGAAGCAGGTTCACTGTGCACTGGTTACCAACTTGTCTGAGTCCAGTGAGACCGAACACACCCACACCCAATAAGTTACATGAAGCAGGTTTATTACTTGCAGACAGGCAGCAAGGGACAAAAGAAGCTAAGGATCCATTGTGAGCTGGAAACACAACACTCAAGAAAGCTGCCTTGGGTGGAGTAGATGGAGTCTCGACTGCACGTGCCCCACTTGCACTACAGCTGAGGGAACACAAAAGTTACATACCTCACTGGCCACACATAAATCACTGGACAAAGCTTTGAAGGACATCCTGCTTCCAGGGGAGAGAGGAACAAAGCCTGGGCTGTGCTAGGCAGTTCTTCACTAACTCAAGATGTTACATTACCTAGGAGGGACAGGAACAAGGCCCGGGCCGTTTCAGGTAGTTTCTCCCTATCTCAGGATATTGCATTCCCAGTGCAGTCTACAGTCAAGAATGACAAGCAAGAAAGGGGGAGAGAACTGGGTTGGTCCAAGGCCACCTGGAGAACTGTCTTGCACATGGGTTAGGGTAAAGTTGGCTGCTTTAAAACCAGGCATCCACCCAAAAAAGTCCAGGAAGATGTCTTTCTCTATTAAACTAAAATGATGGTAATTATAATTTGGAAGTGGAATTGGCTTTTAGAGTCACTTCTGTAATGAAATTAACTTAAGCAATTCAAGCCTGTTCCTGAAAATGAATTCAGTGGTTAATTGTTGAAAATAAATGTCTAACTCCTATAAAAGAAAATTTACATTCACTTCTGACTCATAATGAAACAAAATCTACATGTGTATCTTTTTATAATTAGCAGTATCTTCCTAGAAGATATTCTTACTTATTGTTCTGAAGTGAAAGTCTGGTCTGATTCATAAGAAATGTTATAGCAACCCAAACACTGATGCTTTCAGAATGGCAGCAATGTTTAGCATAAGTTCTGATTATAGGGACCAGCAAAATTTATGACTTGCATAGCAACCACATTCTGTGCCACCCAGGACATCCTCTAGTTTGGGAGTACAACTGCCAAATCTCTGCCTTCAAAGAGTTTAAGATTTAGTGCAAGAAGCAAACAGGCGAAGGCACAAAGTGCAGTATACAGTGACAGGTGTTACAAAAGGTAAAATACTTGTGCTGGGAGCACATGCAGTACCTAACCCAGTCTTGAGGGGGTCGGGAAGTTTTCTCACCAATGATGATGATGGTGATGATGATGATATAACAGCTAAAGTTTGGGGGACACTCAGTATTGCCAGGCACTGTGCTAACATATAGCATGGGTTATCTTATTGAGTATTCACAATAAAAGCCTTATAAGATGGAAACTATTACTACTATCTTGATTTTTACCAATGAGAAAACTGAGGACTAGACATGAAGGAATTTACTCAAGATCAGAGAGTCAGCTGATGCACTGAACTGGAAAAGGCCATCTTGGAGGTGAAGGGAAACATGTGTTGCCCCGAGTGTCTGGGTAAGAGGTAGTAAGGCGAGGCTTGATGCAGGGTGTGGGCTTCAGCTGAATGATTCTGATTAGGGATTAGGGGAAGCAGGGGAAGTTTAGTAATTGGGTATCTCAGCAATTTTAATTTGGAGAAGAAAGGAACAAAGGGAGGCCAGGGAAGTTATTAAGTCACTCAAAAGATAGAGGCTGTTAGTCATTTTGCAACTGTAATGTGTCCTCGAAAGAAACACCTTTTTCTTGGCCTTGTTCCTGGCCTTGTGCGAGTACATCACAGTCTGATTATTAGCAGGGATGATTTTTGCTTTCTCAATCCCTACCGTCATTGCCCCAGCCTAATTCCTCATCACGTCTCACCTAGATTATTGTGATATTCTAGCTTTATCTTTTAATCCTTTATGTTGCAAACCAGAGTGATTTACCTAAAACGAAAATATGACTGCGACAAGCCTCTATTTGAAGGCTTTCAATGGTTTCACCATTGCCTACAGAACGTAATTTTAGAGTCTTAGCATGGCGTACCAGGCCCTCCTCCATAAGCTAGCCCCTGCAGCCCGCTACTACCACTATATTCCGTGATACTCTCGAATTACACTTTAAATCCGATCGCCAAAATTCTTGCTGTTCCAGGCGCATTCCAAGTTCACCTCTCAGTGCCTTTGCTTATGCTGATCTGCCTGTAATCCCATTCCCACCCTTCTCCCTCCAGGTAAATATCATCTCCCTTCAAAACTCAACTCAAGCATCAGAAAGCTCTCTCTGAATACCCAGCTGGACTATGTTAAGTAAACTTTATCTTTCCCTGCACCATTATTATCTTATTTATCGATTGGTCCTTCTCTGCCTCTCGATTGTAAAGCCCTCAGGGGCAGATGATACACCTTTCCAGCCCCGGGAGTTAGGTTCCCCTATGGAGCCCAGACAGGTGAGACTGGCAGAGGGCGGAGTCCGGATCTTTGTCTGAGGCGCTGATAGGTGGAGCCGCGGAAGGAGGCGGAGCCTGGAAAAGTAGGAAGGGCAGCGAGGCGCGCGGCTGTGTGTCATTAGCCTTCATGAGTGAATGAGAAAAGGGGGAGAGGTGCGACTTTAACCTTCTAGCCACTAGACGTCCCACTATGGCGTGGGGAGAGATAGTGATAAAACACTGGGGAAGCGCTGAGGCGAGAAGTATTACTTTCAGGGCGGGGTAAGAGCCACCAAAGTATTTTTCAGGAAGGAGACATTTATTTGAGCATGGCTTTGGAAGACTAGCTTGTCAAAGGGGACCTCCCGCCTTCTCTTTTTGGTCCGGCCCGGGTGGTGCCCGGGGACACTTGCGCCTGCGCGCGCCCGCCCTTTCCGACCGGATCTTGCCGGGTGGAGCAGCGCTGCCGAGATGGCGGCGCCCGGGAAGGTGGTGTTTGGTGAGAAACCGAGGTAAGCTCCGCCGAGGGAGATGGGCAGGCGAGAAGAGGGGACGGAGCGGGCCGATCCTGGGCATGGAGGATGTGCAGGCAGGAAGGGAAGGGAAAAGGAAACCTAGGCCAAGCAAGTGAGCCACCGCAGCAGCTCGAGCCCTTCTGGTGCGCGCCCACTGTCATCGGCGCCTGTGTGCTAAGGGAGGCAAGGAAAGGAACAGATGGCCGATGAAGACTACCTGCCGTTTGGGCGTGGAAAGATGAGGCCGTGGTAGATGCATGTTTTGTATTTAAGACAAGGGAAGCAAGGTATCTCTCCTGAGCGCTTGAGCGATTTCCTGTCACTGGGCGCTGAGGACAGGGGAGCTCGGACAGCGCTGCAGGTGGAGGCGCTGACGCCGGTGTGTAAATGTCTTAATCTTCCAGCCACAAAAAGTACCGGGCCGCCCTGAAGAAGGAGAAACGAAAGAAACGTCGGCAGGAACTCGCTCGATTGAGAGACTCAGGTAACTGACTACTCGTCTTGTTTTCTGTGTATGAAATTGCTCCCTCCACTCCCGCGCTAACTTGAGGCCCCAGTGTCAGTTGGAAGTTAAGTACTGTATGGGATGAATTGCTGTGGCTACTGCCTCCCGAGTAAAGTTATGTCAGATCGATGTCAGAAACAATGTTAAACGTTGTAAAAGAAATAAAAAGCAGTCTCGAATAATTGGAACCTTTCTGCCAGGTTAGCTAATGTCAGTTTGTTCTGGCACTACTACTTCTGCATCTTCTTTCTCATCGTCTGGCACTGGTTCTAAAGCACATATTTCCATCAAGTTGTCTTCTGTTAATTCCTCTGGTGTGGTGTCTGTTAGCTCTTGAATTTTTCCAAGATCCATATGTTGAAACCTTTCACCCCCTACCTTTTTTGCCATATCTACAGTCTTTTTTGTGATTTCCTTGACTGGTTCTGTTGTAAATTCTGTGCAGTTTATGCACAACATCTGGACACAATTTTCTCCAGCAGGAATTTTGGTGGCTTTCATGGCTTTTTCTGTAACAATGATGACATCCAGATTTTCATGATGCCCTGTCAGGGTTCTCTTCTATAGCATAGACAATCCTTTCTATAGAGTACCATGTGTAATGAGCCTTAAAGGTCCTTATGACCCCTTGATCTAGAGGCTGAATTAGAGACGTTGTATTTGGGGGCAAGTAGACCGCTTTGATGCCTTTAGTTTTGAACTCATGGGGTTCTGGGTGGCCAGGGACATTGTGCAATATCAAAAGAACTTCAAAAGGCAGTCCCTTACTGGCAACGTACTTCCTGACTTCAGGGACAAAGCATCAATGGAATCGATCCAGAAAAAGAGTTTTCATTGTGCAGGCCTTTTCATTGTGCAACCAAAAGACTGGCAGCTGGTGTTTTTTTTCCCTTTAAGGCTTGGGGTTAGCAGCTTTATAGATAAGGGCAGTCCTGATCATAAACCCAACTTCATTTGCACAAACCAATACAGTTAGCCTATCCCTTCCTGCCTTAAATCTTGGTGCTCACTTTTCTTTCTTACTACTAAATGTCCTTTGTGGCAAATTTTTCCAGAATAGGACAATTTTGTCTAAAGACCTATTCAGGCAGATATCTTTCTTCTCAGTGATCTTATTAGTAGCTTCTGGGAACTCATCTGCTGCCTCTTGGTCAACAGAAGGTGCTTCTCCTGTTATCTTGACATTTTTTAAGCCAAACCTCTCTCTAAAATTATCAAATTGTTGTTTGCTGGCATTAAATTCTCCAGCTTTAGATCCTTCATCTTCCTTTTGTTTTACATTGTCATATAATGATTTCACTTTTTCTTGACTCATAGCGGAGTCTATAGATATGCTTTCTTATAGCAATCTTGCACCAACATAAAAGCTACATTTTCAATATGAGATAAAAAGGTACTTTGCAAAAAGTGCAAGGTTTTCAACCTGCAGGAGTAGCTGCAGTAACTTCATAAATTTCCTTTTTTTTTTTTTTCTTTAAACAATAGTCCTTACACTGGGTTTGTTTATCTTGAAATGGCAGGCACCTGCAACGGCAGACCTCAATCTATGGTACATATCAAACGATTCAACTTTTTCTTGTAATATCATGATTTTGCTTCTTGCGAGCACTTCCAACATCACTAGTGGCACTTTGTACAGGTCCCATGGTGTTGTTCAGGGGTTACAGTATTACACTAAATACAATGCAAAATACTCCAGAGATCCCTTTTTACTGCAACACACGATTTACTGGGAAGGCGAAGTGCTCCCATGGAGTTCATGTGACATTTTAAGCGGATACTCACAACATTTGAACTCACCACAATAACAGCAGGAGGTGACTATGAGACTATTACAATATGTACAGTATATACTATAGTTAATTTTATGCAGTTATGATTTAATACTGCATGTTTACATTTGTTTACATTTCCCTTGACTGTGAATGGCACCATGTGCTCTCTACAAAGTGTAATTAAAATTTTAACTTCTTATAATAGATTCGTGTATATTTGATGGTAGTAAATGATAAAATAGACCATTATCTACATATATTTTGTGCATTCGTGACATATCTAACTTTTTCTTACTTTTTTCAATGCTCCTAGGCTGCAAGGTTCATCTGTGAGTTTTTTCAAATTGTCACAAATCTCCAGAAACTTTTCCAATGTATTTGTCGGAAAAAATCCACATAGACCCATTTGGTTCAAACCTGTGTTGTTCAGAGGTCAACTGTATTGTATTTGTGAATATCAGCTGTATCCATGCCATGTCTAATCTATGGCATAACTCTAAGTCAGTCATATCCTCTCTTCTAGGTTTGTGGCCTTTTACGTATATTAGATCATTTAATTATCTGAATAATTAGATATTATTTTATATGACTTTGAACTTATCCTAAATTTTTGCCTATTTTAACTTCAGGTGTTGAAATAATAAAGTTTACTTAAGAAAAGTAAATTATTATAATTATCTAGGACTAGATGAGCCTTTGGTTAGTGCTACACTCGATATATGTGACAAACGCAAATCTTTTTCCTTTAAGCCTGAGATCTTCTATTATATCTCCTTGGGATCACTTCAGTTGTCCCCCATTTCACTTCCACTTTCACTGCTTTTTTCCCCTCAAATTTAAATTTTGAATAGGATATAGTATAAATTTCTAGTCTATTAAAAGTTATTTTACCATGTTTTTATTTTGAAAATGTTCCAATCTACATAAAGGTGGAAAAAATAGTACTATAGGTCGGGGCACAGTGGCTCACACCTATAATCCTAGCATTTTGGGAGGCTGAGGCAGGAGGATTGCTTGAGGCCAAGAGTTGGAGACCAGCCTGGACAATATAGCGAGACCCCATCTCTACAAAAAAATTGAAAAATTATCCTGTGTAGCAGGCCATCACAGAAAAAAAAAAAAGAAAAATTATCCGGGCATGGTGGTGTGTGCCTGTAGTCCCAGCTACTCGGGAGGCTGAGGCAGGAGGATTGCTTGAACCTAGGAGTGTGAGGTCGCAGTGAGCTATCATGAGCCACTATACTCTAGCCCAGGCAACAGAGCAAGACCCTGTCTC